AAAACAAGGAAAATTTAAATTTCTTCCCTGAAGTGGCTGAAACCTGACATCTCTTCAGATTTTCATGAATCGTCTTCAGCTTCCCTTCTAAAGCTAAAAATAATACATGATTTAGAGTAATGTAGCAACATTTAACGTTTATGTGTGTGTGTGTGTGTGTGTGTGTCTGTGTGTGTGTGTCTGTGTGTGTGTCTGTGTGTGTGTGAGTGAGAGAGAGAGAGAACGAGAGAGCCAGAGAGAGAGAGAGAGAGGGAGAGAACGAAAGAGCCAGAGAGAGAGAGAGAGAGAGAGAGAGAGAGAGAGAGAGAGAGAGAGAGAGAGAGAGAGAGAAAGTGAAAGAACGATAAGACAGTTAAAGGAAAGAAGAATGAAGGGAAAGGCGGTGAACGTGTGCTGTCGTGCTGCAAGGCATGTGTTTCGAATATATAACATATTCCAAGCCCTGTCATAAACCGTAGCAGCGTTCCTGAGACTTCCTGTCACTCCAATGTTTACATGCACAGCAAATGGGAGAAACCGTAAAGAAAGTGAGGTGAAAAAGAGAGGATGTCCTTTTCATTTGAAACGCTTGGGGGAGTTAATAAACGTGTTTTAAATTCCTCCATTTGAAAACTTTAGAGAGACCTTTTTTTTCTTTTTTTCTTTTTTTTTCTTTCTTTTCTTTTTTTTTTAGGTTTTGGTTAAGATTTCATGGCTGTCATCCAAAACTTGGTCTACCTGTGCAGGGAGCGAACAGGTTGTGCACACGATCATTAATAAAACAATTTGAAACCGGTATAACCTGCGGGGGCCGCGTCTTCGTGTCGCCTGGCGCTGGGCTGATCGTTTATCTTCATAAGGAAGGGAAGTGTTCGTTTGTGACTGTCTCGAGGGAGTGTGGAGAACTCGCGAGATTCTGAGAAATACAACAACATGCGCTCTGTACTTCGTGGTTGTTTACTCCCTTTATAATATTTTGTTGTTGTTGTTGTTTGGAAGGCGTAGGAGGGGTCGGGGTGGGGTGGGTGGGGTGGGACTGGGGTGAGTGATTGCTGTATTTTTCTTTTTATTGATTTTTCAGAGCGTTTTTTTAAATATTCGTTCTTTTTTGGATGGTTTGTTTGTTTGTTGCTTTGTTTGTTCATTCGTTTGTTTGTTTGTTTGTATTTGTGTGTGTGTTTGTTTGTTTGCATACTTGATTGTGTGTTTGTTTGCTTGTTTGTTTGTTTGTTGGTTTGTTTGTAGTTTTGCTTAGGTTTTAGCTTCATTCTTTGTTGCTATTGGTATAGTGTTTTTCGTTTTATTTTTCATTGCATGCTACTTTGATCGTTGTTTTTTGTTTTTTGTTTTTGCTCTGATTTGTTTATTTTCTCGTTTAAAAATATGACACATGTTGTACCGATTTCATACTCTCAAATGCTATTTGTGACACGAAAAAGAGGTTCCTAGATTTTTTTCTTTGCCCTTTTTTTTTTTGCTTTTCTTAGATACAAACTTAGCTGAATTTCTCCAACAGTAAACAATTCAACTTTCATACTTTGACTCCAAATCAACCATTTCAAATAACACCGCTGTCCTAAAGCTTTAAAGTTCGTTCTAGACCCATAAAAAAATCTGTTTCAAAGTGGAGCTTTTTAGTCTTTCCAAAAAGAAATTGAATAGAGACGGAGTATACTCTGAAACATTTTAAAAAACAAGACAATGCGGATTCAAACTTCAAATATCCACATCTTTGTTAAGTTAGGTGCCAATGGTCATGTTAGGCCAGTCCTAGAAAAATCACAAAATACCAAAAGTCAGAAGATGTGTTGCCAAAAATACTTTCAATCCTATCTTGTCGTTTTTCATAAACATGAAGTCTTTCTTGCGGTCAGATGGTAAGTAATATTCAGAATTTAATATTATATCTCAGTTGCTTTTTCCCTCACTTTTAAAAAAAAAATCAGCTGCCCTCACAATTAACTTCTTTGTTATCTTTATTATGCTTAAAATGATGGGCACAAAGTCGGATTTGCTATAATTTAGATAATTACAGAAAGAATGATCGAGACACATTTGGTCCTCGAACTTCAGGGAGTCAGGTAAACTTATCTACATATGGCTGACCCTCTATATACGTACTAAAATAAAGAATAATCTCGACTGTACTAACTTGGCAGAAACACTGGCTAGAGTTGCCATTCAGTAATTCAAGAAACACCATCAAAACTGCAAAACAGCAATCGTAAGCACCTTGTTCGGGCGCATGCTCCTATTTTCAAATTACCACAGACACAAAGCATTTCGCCTTTGTCCTTCAACTGAGAGCCAGTGGTCAAGTGAAAGCCCGTCTGCCTTCGGAAGTCCAAATTCCGAACCCAGAATCTGAACTTGATAGTTTTTTCGAGTCTTTATGGCTTTGTTCCGTGATGCATGTGAATTGATTGGGTAAAAAGAAACACATCGACATATATAATAACAGTCACTTAGTGCAGGGGAAAACGTAAAGACAAGACAGACAGAACAGAAGGAAAGTAAAGAAACAGGATCTGCCAGTGGCGCCCTTCAACCACCCGCTTGCAAGTGTGAAAGAAAAACATAATTCTGCTGAATGGGAAATGAAACTCAATTCATTTTTCACTCATTCATTCGTTCATCCATTCATTCTTTTACTTGTTCATTTATTCATTCATTCACGTATGCCATACAGCTGACACTTTTATATAACATACTTCACGCTTACACACTCCTTTATAAATCAACTCGTCCCTCCCTCCCGTCTTTTCTTTCTTCAGCTATTTCATTCATCCATTCATTCATTCATACCACCATGCACTCATTTACACACATGTATTATATACACCCATCCTCAAGCGAGGGTATAACATCAAGGAGACGAACAAAAGCTTTTCAGTCAAGCCTTTCTTAAAACAATTTATTTCATCATCATCATAAAACGTTCAAATAAATTATGTGACCAATGCTCATATTATATAACAATTCATTTGACAATAAAAACAGACACTGTACAAAGATACTTGTATTGTAAAATCATCTCTGCACAATCTGTAGCAATGGCCTATAAGAACATACATTTCAATGAACCTATTTCACGGCACTCAAAGCGCCTTCTTGTCCGAGTATAAAAAAGCACTTTGTAAATTTAAATGTAACTTTTTATCAATTACAATTTCTAAAACTTAAAGTCAGTGTGAACGGTCAGTATGAAATGACAAACAATGTCAACTGACCCCTGGCTTATCGTAGTCTTATCCTGCATTAAGAACTATCTTTTTCTTGAAGAATGACACAAAGACCCTCCTTAAAAACATAAATCTGAACTCCTGAGATACGTTCCTAAGTTCCAAACTAACAATGGAAAATGGTTCAAGATTGCTGCTTTTGCGTTGAACGATTTTTTGTTTAATGGTTTGTATAATACAAAAGCTTTATAGTCTATGAAGTGGATTTTTTTTTCAAGATGATGCAACTGCTGACTTTTAAAAAAGAAAACTTTTGCCGTCCATTCGAAATTTACATGACCTAGATCTAGTACACATTATATCCGGGATCTTCATTCTTCGTGCGACCAAAGTTGGGTCGCTGTGATGTCATAAAAAAAGCTTTATAAGAATGACAGGGG